TGCTGAACAGAGTAACATCCACACCATCACCAGGTATCAGCTCTGTGGTGTGCTATCTGAAAGTTGAGACCGGGAACACCTGGGGATTTGGAAGCAGGTCCACAAAGCACTCAGCTGCACCCAGACCCCTATGTTACAGCGTCCTGCCCAAGACGAAACTCCAAACCCTATTGTATGAAGTGGTTTGCCTCTTCTACTAAGAGATTTGATCTGTGTCCCACAGCCTTCTCAGCTGCAGGACTAGAGGGAAAACGGGCTGTCAAGCATGCATATTCAACAGCCACAGCTTAACATGGGTACTTAGTAAGAAAATATTCAACGCCTTTGATTGACATGTATGGAGTGCTTGATTCAGGATCTCAGTGAGTAAAGGCCATGTGCTTTGCTGATATTCACATTGTGCAACTGAGACTTCAAGGAGGTTTTTTCTTTGCTCATTTGGCCACAGAGTGACTCTGCATTTGCACAGCTGCCAGAGAGGTACTGAGTCAGCCCAAAGGAGAGAAAGAAAAGGTCGGGCAAAGGCCAGTCCCTTGTCTATTGGTATCTCATGCAAATCAGACACAACTTTTACAGTCGGGCAGCAAGAGAGCAGCCAGTGCACACTGAGTTAGCAAGAGAGGTGAAGAGAACTCCCACTCTGCACTTTTTCAGGCAGCTGTTCTGTGTACAGAGGAGCAATTTAGTCACCATTCTCTTCAGCATGTCTCTATTCCTTGCAAGTGAACGGAATGATCTATTTTTGTGCTCAGAGGTCACATGGAGTAGGTTAACACATTTGTCTTAACTCACCCTGGTGTTTTTCAAAGATTGGCTTCTACAAACTTTCATCGCCCTATAGATCTTTTAAGAGCATCCTGAAACTCCAAGACAATACTTATGTCTGAATAAAGAGACAATTTCCTACCAGCACTGGGCAAAACCCCTCCTAAACTTTGAAAAGGCTGTTGTATCCACTGCAAAAAGGTTCGGTGGATCCTGACTCTTGAATCTGGGTTTAGGACAATCATACAGACCTCGCTCCAGGCATTCATTAAGGCTGCATCTCTAGCCCTGTTAATACTGTATAAAACAAGGGATGATGTTTTGAATTATGCCACCCAACAGCATACATGGCAAAGGCATACTGGTGCCAGCAACAAGCAGAACCCGAGGGCCTTGTGTGTGATTCAGTGTTGCAGTCCCTTGAGCAGATGGGCTGACGCAATGGGTCACTTGTCAAAAGCGCAAGGTCTCACCTACTTCTCTGTCCTCCCCACTCCCCTCTCCCTTGATCCCACGCAAATGGTCCAGCCCCACTCCTGTGATAGCTCTGGTCCTTTCTGGTGACTCATTCAATCTGTTAAGCCATCAGAAGCTACCTGAGGAGTGCCTGACCTGGCACAAGACAAGCAGTGGAAGCATTTACTTCCCAGCTGTCCATTAGTCTGTAATTAGGAACATGCAGGCTATGTGCAGTGAAACCACATCAAGTGACCATTCACAAAGCATTTAATAATGCCAGTGATGTGTAATTTCTCTGCTCTCTAGTTTACTGCCATGCTAACAACACTCTCTTCAAGCTCAAAAGGTCACCGCGAATGAGGAAGAGTTGTGAAAGGGAAGCTTAACTAACGAATGTTGCAGCTTTGGTTATCGATCTGTATAATTTTCTGTTGTCTTTTGCTAGCCATGGGAAAATACACCACTGCCCATTTTTTTGCTAAATAATAACACTTTTATTAGAGACTCTCGGAGACTTTGCACTTTCATAGTGCTTAAAAAATACAATAGTGTGTGAAATTAAGAAGTGTCATCTTGCAAGTGTGCTTGACGGGAAGAAAGAAATTCACAGCAGAAGCAGACAGCAATTACCAAAGGAGAGGAGTACCTGAAACAGAATAATCTTAAACTGATCATTCAGGTGTATTTGCACTGCAGGTGGACTCAACGTGATTCAGTGACTCAATATATTCAGTGACTCATTTTATCTTGGTCAGTATCTGCCAGAAAAAGAAAGCACTCTACTCTGGGCAACGTATTATCGAGAGTCTCTCGGCCTCCTGCCATGTATACACACAAATCATCATATGCTTAATCTAGGGATTTAGGATGCCATTTAATTGGAAAGTAACTTATGTGCAAAGGAAACTGATGTGGTCTTAACATAATTTTCTGTGGTAAAAAAATGTAAGAGAGAATAATAAGAACTGTATTATCCTGCCTAAGTTTCAACTCCTAAAGGACTCTCACAAGAAAAGAGTCAATCTCTATTTCATAGCATCTTGTGTGTATCTGCATAAAATACAAGCAAAAGAAATCAAAATCAGTATCTTCAAAGCTGCACCATATCATGATATCTCTGAAGTCTAGTAAAGAGTGGCGTGCCGCAATCTTACAATCTACTACTCTGCTTCTGATAAAAATCACTTCAGCATCAGAGCTATCAATTCCCATGTCTGGTATTGGACTTACATCAATGGAAAGGCAAACATAATCTGATTCTAGGAGTAAGATTAGTAGTAATCACATAGGAAAAGAAAAAATCTTCACCATACCTATAAAGCAAGAAACCCAAAATCTAATGAAGCTATTTACTAAGACACTACTGTTTTGCCTGACCAAGCAATTAAAACCAATTTTGTTTAAAATACACATTCATAGACAATAAAACCAACTCACCTGTCAAGCAGATGGGGTAGGCAGGGCTAAAATCTGAAGCTAAAAGTTATAATCGAAAAACCTTATTATCTGAAAATCTTACCTGCACATCCTACACTACACGATAAGAACTGTGGTTAGTTCTAGCTGTGCACTGTGTTGAGTCTGTTTCCTTTACAGGAATTTCCTCTACCTCACTGTCATCATCCCTTCCTTTCTCAGTTTAGTTTCGTTAGGTACAAAATTTCCGGGTCATTTTCTTGTAAAAAGAACAGGGGAAAAAATTCTCCCCTAGTAAAAGATCAAAACCTTTTGGGTTCTAAAACCTTCTATTTGCATTGTGTGCAAAAATGCATTGGACTTTTGCTTCATGTAAGAGGAAGAAGGGTGAAAGTTTGTTTCTTTTCCGCCCAAATGCTGCTATTAATAGTTCGAAAAAATGTGCAATATCTGAAATCGACGAGAGAACCACACTTCTGCCCAATACTGAGTAACATTCACTACAAGAGCCGAGTTCTCCTTACCCTTAGTCTCCTCAGCTACCTTCCACGCCCACTGCAAATGGGCACCACAGGGAGGCTGTGACCCACTGCTACTTTCTATCTATGTCCTCCCAGTCAAGCCGTGTTGGTTACCCAAATGCAGCTTCAGCAGAAAAAGAAAAGAGAAACCCTGATGAGTCTGAGCTACCTGTGCCTTGCCCCTGAGACTTGCTGGGCGGGCAGAGCACTTCAGCATATACAGTCCCACACGGTCCAGCCCCTCTTCCAGGCTTCCACTATGGATACAAAACCTGTAAAAGATGGGCTGCACAGTGACTCAAACTACATAAAAACATCTGAGAGCACCTTGTCATCAATTCAGACCCAGTTCTCCCTATTTCAGTAGAGGATGTGTAAATATGTAGGTCCATCAGTTTGTACCAGACTTCTTTCAAGAACAGTAGGACTTGTCTCTCCTTTTCCTGTATGAAGTTCACTCTCTTTACTGCAGATTGGGTTGGTTACTCTATTTCCACAAGAAGAAGCTAAAAAAAGGTTTTTTGCTGTATAACAGGGGATTTCGATGTTGCCACTGTTTACATACACGTTCCTTTATGCAGTGGACCAGTATTAATGCTTGATTCTGTTGTGCTCTGAGCATTTGGAGATACAGGGTTTGTATTCTCAGCTTCCACCTTGTATTTAGCTCTCTGCTCTTTCCAGGACAGAGCCCACTGATGATGAAGCTTGGTGGTTGTCTCCTGAAATATTTTCAGTATTTTGCCCCAGTACAAAATATATTTTTGGTTTATAAGTTATAAAAAGCTCCAATGTATCTCTGTAGATTTCAGTATAAAGAGTTAAGCTTTTTGAAGGTGTCCTTTCTGACTAGAAGAAAAAGCATTTTACTTTCCTCTTTGCTTGAAGGAATTATGGACTGCAGCGCAGTGCAAGTCAAGCTTATGCTGCTTTCAAGCCAGTACTCAGACTATCGGAAAGACAAGATGGTTCTTTCCCAAAGACGTATCTTACAGACACAAAATATACTTCGTTCATTTTAAGTACTAATTGTTGTACTCTCCAAGTAATAGGTTTATTACATTCCAAAAATTAAGTACAGCAGTCCAACTGTCAGAGCAGATCTTAGAAATACAACAGAAGCATCAGTCACACACAGTTTTGAAAGTCATGCTGCCAGAAGACTGAGTGGTGTGCCACACCAGTTACAGCACTGGGTGAAAATCTTGTCAAATAGTACCAAACATTTGGCTGAGCCTCTGCTCCAATTGACCCCGCCCACTTTTGTAAAAGTAATGTAAATGCTAAAAAAGCAGCTTCACATGCCTGCACTTCCCAGGTTCATATTCATCTTTAGCTGCTAGAGCACATTTATAAAGAAGAGGGTAAAGGATGGCTCCAGAAGACCCTCCCTGCTTTCTCTCTCTCCCCTCTCTCCTCCCCCGCACTCACTCACCCTCCCACTCACACATTTAGCAGGTTTTATGCTACAGCTCCAGGAAACTGTGCCTCCCCACTCCTGTGGAAAGTCAAGGTAGGGGCCCATATCTTACCTTGTACATCTCACTTTTGCTCAAGCATTTTGCCAGCCAAGAAGCAGTGGGGGAAATGCACCATCTCCGTGTGTATGTAGTGTACTCTTCTAGTGCTGGGAGGATCAAGTCTCTTCAGTATTCTGGTACTATTTTGGCTTGACACATTTACACATCACCTCCTCTGCCCTGCTATGGTTAACACGGAGTGGGTAAGAAATTTTCCACTCCGATTATCTTCTACACTTAGTCAGTGGTGTTGGTTCTGCTGTTTCAGGAGGTGTCTGAACAATATCTAAACATGAACCTCTGTCCATTTTGTGCTAGGTTATGCAGTCAGTGAAATGGCATACAGTCAAGGGTGGCTTATGGAGCAGTGGGGTAACTCACTTATTACTCCTCTGTGAAATAAGGGAAGATGGTGTTATTTAGCACAAATTTGCTGCACTACAGTGCATTCTGCCTTGTGCATCTGGTGTAATAAGGCTAGTGCCACAGAAGTACTTTGGATGTACTAACAACTGAATAGATCACTTGCTGACAGAGAAAGAGCAAAGCAAATACTCATGACCCAGGCCTTTAAAGGCTTTTGACTCTCATAGTCTTTGGCAGTTAATTAGAAAAAATTGTCTAGCACCTCAAATTCCATGGCAATCCCTTCTTGCCTTACTCAATAGTCTAGCCTGCTTTACTGCAAACCAAGAAACATAAAACTGAAAGGATGAGCATTGTTTTCTTTCAGAAACTTACTGTGCTCTATCATAAAAGTAGGTCAGAATAGTTTCTCCATTATTCCCATAGGAGACCTTACTGTTCTAATGGCTTTAATACCCGTTGTAAATTTATTCATGGCCACGTGTCCTTGTGCAAATACTGTTTCTTAGCTTTAACAGCTCTTCTTCTTTCCAATGCTTTTTCTTTTCCTGTATGCACTTGTTGACAATGCTCCTATTCCTTCCCCTGTTCATTTTACCAGCCTAAACAATTTAAACTCTTCCAGGATCCCTTCATGGGATTCTCCTGGTCATCCTCGTGGCTCTGCCTTGCAGGCCTCAAGCTCTCACTTCACTGGCAGCACTTCATTGGTATTTGCCCTGTATTGTTTGACTTTCCTTCACCATGCTGGCAGCTGGGAACAATCCTGAGGTTCTCACAAGTTTCTGCTTCCAAAGTATGAGTTCCTTCCTTGTAGCTGAATTTTTGCTGATAGTCCCCAAGGGCAGTATCTTCCTTAAGTACTACATAAATAAATATGTTTAATATGCTACATATTAAGCCACTATACACAGATAGAAACATTGCTATGACAGCTGAGCTGAATATTTAGCCTTGAGTCTCCAGCTGAATGCCTAAATTCAGAAATCAGATGTACTCCATAACAAAGTCCCTCAAGAGTTCTCTTTGCTATGGATACTTAGCTTATTCCTAGTATGTATTGAAAGCTTTTCACAGACACAGCCACTTCTGAATTTGCCCAATTGTTTCTAAAAAGTTAGATTCGTACAACATTACAAATAGTTTTGGAGCCTCTTATGGAACAGCATTCCTTCACCATAGTCAAAAAACCTCAAACAGCTACAATTTTCCTGCAATGCATAGTAAACAGTTTTGTAACCACATATTGAACTGAGGTCTCCAGCACATGACTGAAGTTGGCTTAACTATGGTAGTGGTCAAAAGAATTAGAGCAATAAGCTGTGAATCAATTTGATTATCTTTCAGAAATACCTTAAGCTGTCAATGTACTGAACTCTATTATTTTTGTATTTGATAGGTAATAAGCAACAAATACATTACACTGGACTGTGGTATATCTTGCTGATGTACATACTGTATCTCACCAGTAGAGGCCAGATGGAAGATCAAATACTGCAATATAAGAGATGAATCCCTGTGATGAGTTCTTTATATATTTAGCTGACAGCGAAACTAAAAAATGAGACTGTTGTGGTCTATCTGCAGCTGCTTTCAATGAAGTGCAGGAAATTTGAATTGCTAAACCACAGGAAGGTTGTCATGAGTTGATCAAAACTGGAATAGATTCTTGTGGAGCCTTTTTTCCATTTTGTATTTTACGTAACTTGTGGCTATTGCATAAAGCTTGGTAACTACTGTTTCACTCAGGCGTTTTATCTAATTATAGCTACCTAATCAGAAAACTATTTCCCAAAAACGCAATCACATTTTCTTTTTCAACAGTGAATACTTTTCAACTGCATCACAAGCATCTCACTAGGAAAGGCAACATTTCAAAGATTTTATTAAATATATATATAGGATTTAATGATATACAAGTTGCCTCTTCTGTGCAAGCCAGACCATAGTCATCTCTAAAGCCTTTTTTTTTTTTATTTGCTCTGAGAAATTGAGATAGAAAAGGATAACTAGATAACCACAGTTCTAGAGTAATCTTCCAGGCCAGACTATTTTCATACCTGCTAATCTGTATTTTCTTGCCATTTTTTAATAACCCTTCGTGACCAGAGGCACCAATCTACCGATTCCTAGATGTGACACAGAATCCTGACCATCCTACACAAACTAACTGACTGTTTCCTTTAGGTCTGACATGTCCAGCCTACGGTGTGTTTGCTTTGCACACACAGTAGTTGTGTGCCCAAGATTCACCCCTGTTGGAGCTCTGCTTTCTGCACTGACTGCAACAGCTATATTTAAATTCTAGTTTGGTAAATGCGCTACCAACAACTTGCTTCTGTACACATCTTCAATTGCTCTGCAACACAACCGGCAAACCTTAGAGTTTCCTCTGTCCTCCAGCCCTTGTACAAATCTCCTGCCTTCTTTACAATCTGGAGAGTGGTGGAAGAGGTAGGATTTGTCCTTAAGCTTGGATACGGAGTGACACAGCTCCTCAGGGTGGGGCATTTACTCCTGTTTCACGAGTTCTACCTCTCCTCATATCTCTATAAAAAATGCAGATGGTAACAGAGGAGCAGAAGTTCTTACAGCAGGAAGAAACTGTGGATATGGAACTAGACATGGTGTCCATTTGAAGGGACCCCTTCACTCAAAGAGCCTCTCCAGAACTGGTGCAGACACTGAAGGTGGGCACACAGGA